TGACCTGAGGGCCGACTGAGACAACCCCATAAATTCCAAACTCACATCTCAGAGGAACTGATCAGACTGAGTGGAGATCAAACTGCTTCCTGCACAGAGAAGAAACACTGCAGTATCGACTTAGTTCAGGGGCCACATACAACCTATTTTGACCTCAAGGAGACAGCTCCAGTAAAAGCAGTGGAATACCCCATTAACTCTGATTTTCATTCACCGCAGCTCTATGATTTTGTTTTTGGGCTCTACTAGAGCAGCTTCCAAATATTCAGCTCATACTGGGCCTTTGGTTGCAGCCATTTAGTTCAATTCATTTCAGTTCAGTTCTTTGTTTTAGCTGCTTTAGCTCCGCCCTCTTCAAGGCAGCTTTCTTTTTTTATTGGCTGCCCCTCACGAGCTGGGTGCAGCATAACCTGATTTCAACATCAGTAACTTTGATGTAACTTTGGTCTTAAAGGTTTAAAAGTTTTAAAAAAAACTTTTAAAAGTCTTAAATACAAATTTGTTAATATAATGTCTTAAAAAGGATTAAAATGTCTAAAATTCAATTTTGATGAGTGTTAAGTCTCCAGTAATGATAGTTTTGCCCCATGTCTATGCTCTGTTTTCTTTTTCTAACTTGAAAGGCAACTTCTAATTCATATTTCAGTGTATTCATTCAAATAAATTGTCTGATTAAAGGTTGAGCTAACATTAGCTTGAATAATGTTGGATACGACGGTGACTCACTACTCCATCTGGTGGTTTAAAGTAATATTACATGACAGTGCATCACAGCTCTGTTTGAACAAAATAAGTTTCCACACATAAAATTCGCTTGTTACATGATGGTTAATGTCACTGATGGTCAGTCGCTAATGGACATTCTGGTTGCCTAGGTAATCCTATATTATATTTACCATATGTTATATGTTAGTCATCACTGTCCTTCATTTTCATTGGTATTGGCTTCAGTCACTTGCCTCACAGTTGGAAGCTTACTGCCAAAAGTTATTTTGCCCATTGTTATTTCATGTCACCAAGTATCTTTCATATTTCACGATCTGCTGCTGTGATTTACTTCTTGTGTGGACGCCACTTTTGCTGACATAACTAAATTAACGCTTAAGAATTAACAACTTACCTCAGGGGGGTCAAAAATGTGGCCCAGGGTCCTGCTAAACAGTCCAACTTTGCTTGTGGGATGCCATTTCTACAACATTTATTGTTAATCTTTTTTGTGTGCATTTTAGTAAATTAACACAAAAATTCAGTTTTTTAATTTGATGACAAGCCCAGATATTGAGCTGCCAGAGTTTTTCTGTAAATTTACACAGTTATTTCTTGAAGTTTAGGCCTGAACAGCCATCCTGATGGGCTTCTTTCATTTACTGCAACAGTATTTCTGTATACTGTAGAAATAAAATGTGAAGTCTGATATCTTTGCAGTGAAAAAGGAGAATTGTAAAGAGTTCATCTGTTGCTTTGTGTTATACAGGCTAAATTTACTTGTTAAGGTCAAATTGGGCTGTATGTGCCCCACAGTGTGAATGTCACAGCTGTTGTTGTTTCACATTCTGTTGATAGTTTTAAATTGTTCTTTAGAAGCAGAAAAAGTAGACTTTCCTGTTCTTGCGTATGAACACGTGAAATGTAGAAGGTGCTAAAGGCGAGTGTTGCAGCAGAGTCAGGCTGCAGTGGATCCTGCTCTGTTAAATAATCATGATGAATAATGAAGGTGTGAGTCGGCCCTCCTGGGCGGACATTTAGTGTCAACTTGACAGCTCTCGGAGCAGCTCGGGGACGAGGGGGAGATGAAGTTGTCTCCATATTAAGCAGGCAGATTAGACCCGTTAAATGGAGGGCAGCGTGATGAGGGGCGGGACCAGGACCTCCGGGGTCTGCATCTCATCAGGTGAGACAGGGTGGTGGGGGGAGGCTCTGGCCCGCCTCCACCGCACCTCACGTCTTCTGCAAACTGGAACTGACCCCGCGCTTCTGCTAGCCTCCGCCGCAGCTCGGCCCGGCCCTTCCCATCATGCACAGGGGCTGCGTCAAGCTCCCATGAGCCTCGGCTCGCTCCCTGCCATCTGCCGTGATTTATAGAAAACGGCCGATGATTTATGGGCCAGTCATCTCACAATGAAGTTGTTCTCTTTCATTTGTGCGACCTCCCGACCCAGCCGCCACTCCCAGCCAGGTTGGGGAAATGCGCGCTAATCATACACTATGAGGGCTTTTAAACAGGAGGAGCCGGGCGGGTGGAGGTGCAAACAGAGGGCCTTTAATCAAATTAATTTCCAGCAGCATGTGCATACTGATGAAACAGGCGGGCCTGAGAGATGCCAGTGCAACCGCTTCAAGGTCTGATGGCAGAAAGAAGACTCGGGCAGTCAGTCTCATCCCCATGCCTCGCTTTGATCCATGTATGAAATGCTCCGTTAGGAGCCAGTGATCCACGGGATGTGTTTAAATATTTATGCTGTGTCACTGTGGAGCTTGTAAACTAAAGAGTTAGGCCCCGTAGATCAGCTGTAACTACCAATATGACCCATCAGATCCAAAAACATCCACCTCAGAGGGGTTTCCATCTAAAGGAGGAGCTCAGTGGCAAAAATCTGTCTGTTTCTTTACCACGCTGACTGACTTTTCAGTCCATCAGGGATGCTTGAGGAGATGCCACATACAGTGACTACAGTACAAGCTGTGCTGGAGGGAATATAGAGGCAGATACCTTCTTAAACCCACTGGAGGAAAGGCTTAAAAAATCTTTACCAGACAGATCAAATTTAGAAATAGGAGTATTGAAAGTTTAGCCTGGCACTCAAAGCTGATGGTAGCCTCAGGTCTGTACTCTGAAAACTTGAGATTAAACCTAAAGTTAGCTCACTAAGGCTCAAATCCTGCTTCAGAGCTATGAAGACACAGACCTAACCTGCTGCAGAGCAGAAGAGCACACCTATTGACAAATCAGATCACTGGAAAATAGCATCACCGTCGCTGGAAGATCCGTCAGAATACAGGAGACCGTTTGAAGGAGAAGTGTGAAACATGTTTTACTTTGCAGGCTACAAACAACAATGAGAAGTTCATTCTAAACACGATTTTAAAAAGCCGAAGCACAAAGTCAAAGACAAGCTTTTAAAAATATACCTCACACTACAGTCTTATTTAATGATCATGCCACAAAAAAGACGAAGAACAGCCTGAGATATCTTCAGATGAACAGTAAATCTTACTTATAGTAAGTCTAATAAATCTGAGTCTGCTGCCATTACATGTTTGTTACAGTTCATAACAACAGTATTTTTATGTCTTCATGATTCCAACTGCTCATCGACATCTAGAAATATCTAAAACCTCCCAAACATTTTCACTCCAAAAGGAACAGAAATCGATTTCATTGAAATATTGGATGGATTTGATGAATTCCTTTGATCTTCCTCTAATGAGCATCAATAAGGAATAAAGATCCATGGGAGCAACTTTATTTCTTTGTTTTTATTTCTTCTGGCTGCAAAATTATTTCCAAACATTTTCATTGTTCTGTGAGCTTTAAAGCAGACTTCAGTCTAAAACAACACCTGAGCCTTGAAAGTGTTAGCTGATATAAAACCAGCATGTAGGCCTCCTTGAATTTGACTGTTTAGTTCTGCAGGGTTTGGAGCTGGAAGAACACGATTCAAACTGTGTAGCACGCCATAAGAAAACATCTCAGCAGCACCTGAATTTAACTGAATAAAAAACTATTTGATCTGAGCACACTCAGAGTTATTATAGATTTGAGAAGCTTTGACACCATGAGGGAGGTGGTTTGCTGGACTCATGAGGATCCTGCCTCATTTTACAAACACCTTACTGAAACAGAGAGCTGCTAAACTCACCACTCCTTATACCAATTATGCTTCACACAACTTCCAACGCAGAATGAAACCAGGTAGACAAGGTGAAAGTGTTAGCTGATATCAATGACGCTGTCAGTCCCTAACAATACAGACTAACAAAAGTGAAAAGTCTCAAACCAGAACTGAGGGATCCTCAGGGGATTAATCCTGTGACTTCTACTGTGGGAGAAAATGAAGCTGAGCTCCACAGTGGCCTCGCAAACAGCATCATGGGGATTTTTATTTAAAGAGTGAGAAAAGGGGAGCAAAGAAAATAATTCCAAAATAAAACCAACATGTGCTGCACAGTGAAGCTGAAATAAACTCTCAGAGTGAAACACTGAAGCAGCTCTGATGAGCTGAATAATCACTAATCAAACACACACACACACGAGTTTAAATGGTTCAAATAAAGCACAGCAGCAGAGACAGAGCTGCCCTGGCTCAGAGCGCCCTCTGTTGGATTTTCACTCAAAGTGCTGTATTTACATTTACAGCTGTCGTAATGCAGGCTGAACATCAGAGAGGAAAAATAATGAAAAATAATGAATCAAAACTTGAGTACCCAAACCAAAACTTTACATGTGCATCATGAACGAGTCACAGGGATGAGAAGGGAAAAGGACGAGTTGAAGGTGTTAGTAGGATGTCATTATCTTCTGATCAATTATCTCAATCTGCCCCAAAAAACCAAAACAAGCAAACAAAAAAAGAATTTCTTACAAATGTATTTATGACTTGCATCTCTCAGAAGGTTTACAATGGCTAATTCTGAAGTGAGCCATTGTAAACCTGAAGTGAAGTGAAGACTGAAGCTCTGGAGCTGATCATCATCAAAGAAACCATCAAACAAGATGATAGAAGTTCTGATATTTATTCATTTCATTGTGAACAAGTGTGTTGTACTTGTTAAAACAATAGAACAGTTTCTCCATCCTGTTTTTGATATTTCACACCAGGTGAATGAAAATAATGTAATTGTAACATTTGTACTCATGTCCATGGACACTATATGCTTTAATATCTGTGCCTTTAAACATTAAAAGGAAAGAAGAGGTGAGTTTCTATTTATACAGACTGGATTTATCCTCAAATGGATAATTTTCTTAAACTTCGGAACAGTTTAAAAGCAGGAATCAACTAAAGCTCAGCTTGTTCTGCAGCTTCTGACCGAATCTTGTGGTCTTCATCAGGTGCATTTTGCTGGGTTCTGTTTATAGGACTTCTTCTCTGGCTTGGCTTAAACTTTGATTGATCCACATTCCCCATGGAAAACGATTTGACTGACAGATTGACAGGACATATGATCAGAGGTGCAGAGTTATCATTATCATCATCATTGACCCCGGGACAGAAGAATGGGTAGAGTTTCCCAGTGAAGGAGCAGCCAGTAAAGGAGTAGACAAGAACTGCACGATCTACATCATAAAAGGAGACCAGACCCTCCTCATAATCCACAAACACCCCCACCTTCTCAGGATAAGACTGAAGCAGGAGATGGACTTCAGGATCCTCAAGAGCCACACAAATGTTTTCATATACTCCTACGGTCCAGTAACCTTTCTCAGGACTCGGTATGATTTCTTGTTTCCTGTTGACTGACTCTCTGACTACTCCTAAAGCCCATTCATTCTTTTCTTTAACCTGAACTTCAAAATAAAATCTGCCTGAAGAGAAACTCTTCTTTCCTAAAACAACAAGCTCTTCAGAAAATCTCTCTGGGTTGTCTGGAAGATCATTCTCCTCTTCACCACAGTGTACTTGTTTTCCATCATCAGACAGGATGAGATAAGGATGTGCTGTATCAGGATCGAGAGTCACGTCCATTGCATACTGCTGGACCCTCTTCAGTTCAGCCTCAAACAGCTTCTTCATGTCTTTACTGAATATCTCCTTCAGCTGATCCACAGCTCTCACCACAGTCCCCTCATATGATGGTGGATGGATACTGACCTCTGTCAAGTCCTTGGTGGTTGGAGCAGCTTTCAGGGATGAGAATCTTTGGAGGAGTTGGAGGTGATCTTTAGAGCGTGAGAGCTGCTCCACCTCAGAGCTTCTCTTCATCAGCTCAGAGATTTCCTGTTCCAGATCTGTGATGAAACCTTCAGCCTGTTTCTTTGTTGTTTCCTGTTTATCTTCAATTTCCTTTATGAGCTCGTTCAGACGTCTGTCAACAGACTCCTTCAGAGCAGTGAAGACCTCAACACCTTCTGCTTTCTCTCTGTCTGCAGCATCTTTACTCTTCTTCACTGACTCTTTGATCTCCTGAATCTTCAGTCGTCTCTTCTGGATCATCTGTTCAATTTCAGCCTCAGTCTCCCCCAGCGCTGCCTTCTTTCCTTCATATTCTTCTCTCTGAGGAACAAACTCATGAGTCTTGTGGTCAAAAACACAGCAGAGCATGCAGACACATGTCTGATCGTTCTTACAGAACAGCTCCAGAGGTTTATCATGCTTCATACACATCCTGCTTTCCAGGTTCTCCTCAGGATCGATCAGTTGATGTCTTTTCAGACCTTTCATTGTCAGATGAGGCTCCAGGTGAGTCTGACAGTAGGAGGCCAGACACACCAGGCAGGACTTCAGAGCCTTCAGTTTGGTTCCAGTGCAGATGTCACAGGGAACTTCTCCTGGTTTGGCAGCTTGTTGCTCTGACCTGCTGCTGCTGACTTTCTGCTGAGTTTCATGTCTGAACTGAGAAACCATCTCAGAGACAAATGTGTTGATGTGCAGCTCAGGTCTGGTCTGAAAGACCTTTTTACACACAGGGCACTGACACCTCTCACTGATATCCCAGTGTTGACTGATGCAGTTTTTGCAGAAGTTGTGTCCACATGGTGTGGAGACTGGATCATTGAAGAAATTCAGACAGATGGAGCACAGAAACTGATCTTCAGATAGAAGACAGCTGGCAGCAGACATGTCTGCACCCTGAACAAGAAAAAAAAAGAAAATTTGTTCATTTTTTAATTTATTAATTCACATAGCACTACACTTATATTTTTCTTTCTTTAAATATAGGATTTACAGGCTCTTGGTTTAGAATTAATTAACTCATACAATCACATAATACTGTATTCTAAAATAATTTTGCACATTTTAATTTTTCCTGTTATATTTATGATTTAATCTTTCTGTGTTTTCTGAGTTACCTTAGTGGCAGTTGCTCCAAGACCCTTGGTTGATGAGCTAAGAGGTGGAATAGGGGCAGAGCAAGCATATATGGAGACCTGCAAATTGGGTCATACCACAACTCTGGATCAATTTGTTATGTTAGTTTCAATAAGGTTTTGTGTGTTCTACCTCTTTTTGTGTGTGCACTATTTAAGTTTTGTTTAGGTATTGAGTTAGTAGAATTGTTTGTTGTCAGCTTTTGAATAGTGTTCTGTTACTTTGGCCCAAGATTTAGATTTTGCTGTATAATTTAACCCAAGGGCGTAGATTTGGCATGGACGGAAGGGACATGTCCAGCGATTATTGAATTGTCCCCACCAATAATTTGATCTCTTCGAGTAAAGAAAAACAAACCCGACAGAAAGAAGAAGAAAAAAGATCTGTCACCGTCTCATTCACCCAGCGGTGCAGAAAGAGCTAAATCACGTCCTCTACTGGAGTCCTACCTCATGTGACAAATATGGCCAATGTGATTGGCTGTGCCTTTCAGGGAGCTCTGTTTAGTTTTAGCAGCGGCAAGCCTGCGCTGCAAGGAGTAGAGGATGATGGCAGCAAAGAGGAAGATCCTGGATATAAGAAAGAAACCTGTAAGTCACTTAAAGCCAAGTTAACTCATAAAATGTGTCCGTCATAATAACGTTACAGGCTATGCTAGGCTTTGGCCCACATCAGTCTAAAATTTTATGTAACCATGAATAACGTGTTTTGAAAACTAACTGCACAACTGGCAGCACTGTTAGTTATCTCAGTCTCCCAGAGCAGCATTTCTAATTTTGATTGAAACTGTCAGAAAACGGCAGCCTTGAGTAAGCCAGGATATTAGTTTACAGAGGCTGTTAAAATTATATGTCTAACGTTAAAATGTTGGTGACACAATAATTTCATCCTAATGGTACTGACATATTCATAGGGTTAATTTTTGAGACAAAATATCATGAGGTAGTCATGATTGTGCAAATATTCCACCTTGTAGTGCAGTTTGCACAAATTGTTTTAAAAATGCACTCACCCTACAAACATTACTGATGAGTCAAGATCTGCACAAATTGACAGAAACACTGAAGCAGCTACACATTTTATTCTTATTGTCATGTATGTCCTATTTGTCAGATGACAGAAGAACCAACACAAAGCTCAGAGAGCAATGGTGACACAAGATCACAGGTGAAGTTGGATGATGACTTGTTGGTTCATGACTGTATTTGAAGCACATGTGTGACTGCATGTATTTGGAATGCCTCACTGTTATTTATCAGGTGACAGAGGCAGCTCTGCCATGTTGTAGCTCGGACAGAGGTGAAGAGGCGAGGTCACAGGTGACTAACTGATGATTTGGTGCTATAGATTAACTAGTATTTATTATCATCATCCCATCATCCCAGTATCCTCGGCTGAGGCTGAAAGAAGCTTCAGTGCTCTCAGAAGACTAAAAAGATGGCTAAGGTTAACAATGACTCAAATGAGATTAAACAATGCTGCTGTATGTCCACCAGAGACTGGACAGTATAGATGTAAAACCAATATGCCAGCAGTTTATCTCAGTTAACGAGAGGAGAAGGCA